TTCTGAAGTTGAATTCAGGTGAAAAAGATAAGAGATGAGCACTTTTAGAAGATTTCAATTGTCTTTTTTTAATACACTGAAATTGTATTTGTAAGATTATTTTATCTTATAAGTTTTTAAAGCTCCAACTTTGAGCTGCAAAACCAAAGTTGTTGCTATTGACAGGGACCACACAAAATCACTTTGAGAGCCACAAGTGGCCCCCAGACCACACTTTGGACACCCCTGGTCTCAGGCTTGTTCACTGTATTATCAATGTTTGTTTTTTTTTTTCTCAACAGACATCCAACACCTTTTTGATAGGACAAGCCATTCTCAAATGAGACAAGCAGCTTCTGGATTATGTCCACTTCATAGAAGGTTGCAGGGTGAGCAGCTAAATTCCCTGGAGTCTGCAGGTTTGTTGTTGCATTGCAGTAGCCTCTATCAACTTTCAGCAAATTCCCAAAACAAACCCCATTTTGATGCTGTCAGAGCCTTTCAGCTCTACGTTTTGACTGCAGTCCCTGTGGTTAGAACCGATCAGGCATCAGAGAGATGTGAAATTTGTTATCACCTGGCTGCAGCACAGACTTCAGGCCCTGCGATAACATGCATGCATGTTCAGGGGCGGTCTCAGGTGTCCAATGAGAACGGGCGCTTTTATTCCTGGCCAGCCATCCAGGAGCTCCAGCCTGTCGCTGAGGGATGTCAGGCTGAGATTTAAGAGCTGTCACTTCCCATCAGCCTTCACTCACACCCAGAGCGGAGAGACTTTATCTGGCCATTCTGTCTGTCCAGCATCCCTGCAACGCTTAGTTTAGTCTTTAATGTTGTGAGTCACAAAACAAGTATTGTACAGAGAGAGGAGTTAACCCTCTAAAGCCTGATCCATACAACAATCAGAAATTCTATACTTTTGAATTTAGAGCTGCTTATTAGATATTTTTGACAGAAAATTGATCTGAAGATGAATGTTGTTATAGTTTAGCATTGGTAAATTATACCGTCATTACAAACATCATTGGCGCCTGATGAAGGTCCTTCACAACTGAAGTCATTCGTCTTGTTAGATGTTTCCTGACTGGGAACAGGAATCTAATTTTCCTCCACATATTTGTCACTCACTGGATATATTTTCTTTTTTGGACTATTTCTACGGACAGGAGAAATATTTCTGCATGACATCCCAGTAGATCAACAGTTACCAAAGAGCTCAAAACAGCCAGTCAGCCATTAGCAACCATGGCGTCTTGAACTTTCCTAAGCTCAGTTTTAATTTCAGCTAGTCAACTTCTCCACATCTAGATGCAATAAATAGTTACCATTTGATCAGCTGTTTTGCTTTTTGTGTGAATAAATAGTTAAATATGTTCACCAGATAATACCGAGTATAAATGAACATATTTTGCTTCACAAACTTGAAGTAAAAAAACACCCAAATGAACTTTTATTTTTTTTCCCCAATTTTTAAATAAAAGGTTTTAGGGGATGTAGTATTTGGAAATTATTTATTTGCAAGCATTTGTTTAGTTAATTTTGATAACTGTGACTTACAACCAATAAAATTCCAGCTTTTGCTATTAATCTTTTTCTTTCTTCCACTCAATTTTTCTTTAGTTTGCTCGGAAAAATCCCTGAATTTAGACCCAGCCTCTTTTTAGCAATGAATTATTTTGTCTTGTCCAGTCATTCAATAAATGACCAGATAAATATTCCTACTTTATTTTAAGAAACAATTAAAATTTGATGATACTCTCAATTACTGAGACAAATAAACTCAAACAGCAGTTTTTTTTCAAAGAAGGCTCCTTTCAAACACGGTTAGTGGCCTCAGAAATTACGAATATAAAAATGACACATTTAGTATGCAAACGAACAAAAATGTGTGCGCAAGGTAAAAATAAAAAATGTTTATGGACACAGGATCTGTGATCCACTCAGCGTGTTTCATCTGTGTGATCTGAACATCACATGTTGCCCAGACCCCCCTCCCCGGCCGTATTTAATCCCCCCACTGCCCCTGTTGCTCTGTGTCACAGGAAAGCACCAGGAGGTGTGTGTGTTCAGGCAGCAGAGGAGTGTTTTAATGCTGCAGTTACAGTGCGTGCGCGCGCGTGTGTGTGTGTTTGAGAGCGAGGGAGAAGGAGGAAGCTCACAAGGATCGACAGATGCTGAAGGATAAAGATTTGCAGCTGAGATCTATCAGCTGCGAGGGGAGCGGGGGCTGTCATGCCCTGACAACGACCCACATCCGCACGCAGAAACCTGCACCAGCCACCCTCGGTGTGAATTTCATTCCCACCAGGGTGCATGTTTTCCTGTCTCGGGGCTTTGTGTCGGTCTGGATGTGTTTGTGTGCACGCCTTTAACCTTAATTCTTACAATGCCTGCTTCATATCAGCCGTGCACTTACTGTAATTGGTTTTAAGCTACACGTGCTGGTTGTGGAAACGGGTTCATGTGTGTGTGGTGAAGCCTGGCAGCTGGAGCAGACTGCAGCCAGAGTCACCAGGGACGGGGGAGAGAAAGGGAGCAGGGATGCGGTTATGAAAAAGAGTTGAAGGTCAGTGCAGTGAATGAGGTCGGCCTGAATAAATGAGCACTAATAAAGCGGCCGGCACAGCGGCAGTGTGTGAGCGACGTCTTCCTCTCACACGTCAACCCGCTCAGGTACAACCAGCACGGCGGCAAGACACACGGGGTCAGCCGGTTTTCCCACACAGTCAGATTCCCAGACAGAGCAGGAGGTTTGTTTTTCATGCCAGCTCCACCTCTGAACTGCTGTTATTGTCTCTAAACCGGTCTATCTTCCTCTGCTACATTTAGCTCTGTCAGCAGCCCTGCCAAGGTTTTCCAGAGGGCAGCTGAACACAAACAGCAACACGTCTGCTCTATTTTCTCCTCCTGCATTTCTCTGCTTTCTGAAACTTCCTCGCTGTATTTGCTTCTTGTTTCTCCAAGCAAGCAATTACATCCTGTTTTGCTGTCTGCAGTGATCCTCCAGCATGCAGAATGCTTTGTGATCACTCATTTGCAGCTATACCCTTCAGCACGACAGCTCCAGCTGCACCTTTCTTTTATTCACAACTCTCCAGTAATTCTGCACTTTCGTCTCCCTGGTTGTGCAGGAGCAGCAGGAGGTGTTGATGGTGAGACGAGCTCTTTCCCCTTTTCAGCTAATGTAAAGGGAATCATTGTAAGTGACAAATATGAAGAGGCTTTTCCTCTGCATGTTTCCCCTCGCTCGGGGGGTAGCTGGAGTTGTGTTGTGCTGAGCTGTAACTCGGGGATCCCCTGGATCACCCGACAAATGGAGCACCTGCAGGAGTAGGAATCAGCCTTCCAACAATCAAATTCAAGAACATTTCAATCACTTTTTATAATGTCATTGCAACTAAATGTTATAAAAAATCATAGGTTGTTAAAATTTAATTATACAGTCAAGATTTCATTGCATGAAATTAGCTGTTTTGCTTTCAAGTGGTGTTTGGCAAAAGTCAGGTTCCACTTGCTAAATATTAGATGAGATAAAGTGGCGTACAGGCAGGAAATGTGATTTTTTAAAATGAAGTGTTAAATCAAAGAAAAATCTGAAAAATATTAGGATTATAATATTAGATGCTTTTAAGCTAGGTGATGGTCCCAAATCCTGGATAAGCCCCCAAATAGTTACATTTCTTCCTTCATAAACTGGTTGGTTTCACATTTCAAAATTATGCACTACTTTATGTTGCTTTGTTGCTTAAAATCCCAATAAATTACACTGAATTATGTGGCTTTAATGTGACAAACGGATAAAAAATAAAACCAAATGAGACGTAGATAGTTTTATTTCAAGATTTTAGCACATAAAATCAAGGGATTTACTTGGCTGGTAAAGTTTTTGGGTAGAAGACATTCTGGGTTCAAATCCCAGATAAGACATCAATTACTGCATTCTGTGATGCTGCATGAAGGGTTCAGTGATGTGAGAATTTAGGATAAATATTTTAAAAATGAAGATATGATCATATAAAATTAGGTCTGTTTATTAAAGCGTTTTTACTGATTAGTTCAGCTAACAAACCGAATAGGTAAAGATTTTACAAGCAGTAATGTTTCTACTGTTACCCAAAGCCACACAATGCATCTGCTGCGCTAATATTTAGTGAAATCATGACAATAAATAAGAAATTAAATGCAAATTCTGAAAAGTTACCAACATAAAACTATCAGCACTTTTATAAAAGTGATTTTATGCCAGAAATATAACAAAAATAAAAAATAAATAAAGTCAGTGACCTGCAGCTTCCGCATATTTCACATTTTATTCCACAAATGTAAACAAAAATGCTGAAGTCAATCCTATAGACGTGTTCATGCACACTGACTGCCACATGGGGGCAGTGCAGCCACAGCTTTGAGAGTCCTCCCGTGTCTCCAGTGTGTTAGTGCGTGAAATGGTATTAGCGGTGAGACAGGGGGGTCAGAGGAAACAGAGGTGTGTGTGTGTGTGTGTGCGTGGGGAGTGTGTGTGTGTGTGTGTGGGTGTGTGTGTGTGGTCCTCGGCAGACCCTGTCACCCAGCTCATCACCTTGCCGCTGCTGCTGCAGGATGGAGAGGCTGAAACATGCAGGTTCTCCCTGTTTAGAACGGGCTACACCTAGATTTTTCCATCATGATGCAATTGTTTCCCCGCTGAATTGAACTGAAACCCAGTCAGAATTACTCTCCAGGAGCTGATCCACTTGGGATCCTGATCTCTGAAACACATTCAGAGCTCATAGAGAATGTCAAGCTGGCATGGTGTCCTTCTGAAACTGCATCTGGGTTCATTTTCCAGTGAAACCCTCCATGTGATGCGCTGCAAGTGCACTGAGGGCGCTCTTACTCTTCAGTCAGGTTGCTCAGCAGATTGGTGAGCCTCTAAAAGCGATGTGTGCGTCTGCGTGTGCGTACTACGCGGGGAGGAGGGAGAGAGTTCTTTAGTGTCTGAAAGAAGGCAGAATACAGCGCCTGGGAGTCCAGAGGTCCGAGACTGCCCCCCCGCCCCCTCCGAAACTAAAAAAGGAGGAGGAGAATAGGAGGTCCGCTCTCCTCCCCTCTCCACGGAGAGCCTGGAAGAATTGCGCTCGGTCCGTGCGCCCTGCCTTGCCAGTCGGAGGATGGGGATTTTTTTCCATTCATCCACGTCCCCTTTTCCCCTCCTCATCCTCCGCCTCCTCTCAAACAAGCCAGTCGCTCTGTCAGTGCGCTGCGAGCATTAGGGCGAGTCAAACCGGTGGGATTTTTGAGGCGCGCAGACGGATGAGATAACTGCACGGAGAGCGCGCTCCTCGGGCCGTTTCGTTCCTGCGCTCCGTCGGAAAGACGTCCGATGCCCGCTGAGTCGCATCTTTATTTTCTTCACCACTTCACAAGTTTCACGCCGGCCTGCGTGTGGCATCGTTAGGAGGGACTCGCTTTTCCAGCTCTTTGGCTTGTTCCTGTCAGTTTTTTTTTGTCCTCTGAATTTGCTCTCGGATTAATTTTCGAGCTGGATCTTGGTTTCCTTTTTTTTTTTTTACTGTAGAAACGAACATATTTTGTGGATTTACTGCCTCTGCATTTTCTGGCAAATAAAAGAGAAAGAGAAAGGATTGTACTTGACTCCCTCAGCATCAACACGTCTTTTTTTGTATGAGGATGGAGCTGTGGATACAAGTGGCATCTTTCTCGTTTTAAACACATTCCCAGCTGTTTTTATCTCTCTTTTGTCTTCGTCTCCTCAACAAAGTGACCATATTTAAATTCGGCTGAGCCAGATATGCTCGGACGTGAGAGAACAAGGTAATGGGAGAGAAATCAGACAGAGAGAGCCAAAGAGAACAAGGGAACGTTGTTCAGCGAGGAAAACAGACAATTAGGGCGCACAGAAAAGGCTTCTGCTTTCTGGAGGCGATAATCTATTAAAAAAAAAGCCCAATTCAGTGGAGATCTGCTTGAGCCCTAGTGTGAGTGTTTTCTTTTTTTTTTTGTAAAGAAACTGTTTCTGGTGAGAAATGAATGGGGAAGTCACGGGAATGGCTCTGAAATAGTGCGCAGAAGAACCTGTCGATTTGGAGACCAGGACGCACGGATTGAACAAGTTTCTCCTCCAGCATTCAGCATTTCGGATCCATGTGGTTTTGCGCGGCTGGCTCCTTGATCCCACTGTAACTCTGTATGCCTTTAATCCTGATCGGTTGATCCGTCCATTGTTTTGAAGCGTCTAGCTGCAAAAAAAAAAAGGAAGAAAAAAATTATTGAAAGCAGCTCTGCGAGCCCCTCCGGCGATTATTGTTGCTTCCTTTTCGATGGGGCCGCACATGCTGGGTGTCAGGGTAGAGATGGCGTGTCGAAGGAGCGGGAATGGATTGTGGGTCCTGCTGGTATTCCTACTGGATTTACTGGGAACCACCGCCAGCAACATGGAGCCCATCTACTGGAATTCCATGAACGAAAGGTAAGACGACACAGCAGGTCTGAGCTCAAAGTTTTAATTATATCTCTAAAAAAAGTTAATTCCTTCAAAAAGCATGCTTGATTTCAGGGAACTCTGTCTGCGAGGCGGATTTAACGAAACTCCCGAGGAGCTTAGTAATGCAACATGACATGCACGGTAAAGTTAGAGAGCAGGCCTTCCTCAGGCGCAGCCTCGCGTTGACCTGAGCGGTCATCAAATGACCCTTTAAAAGGGGTTTGAGCGTCAGACACCAGCCTGCTCCTCACAGCCGCCACCGGGAGCCTGACGCAGGTTCCCGGAAAGCAGAGGCGGCTCTAGGAAGTTGTCACCCGGGTGGCTCAACAGGACGATCTCTAATTCAAACAGGAAATAATCAGATTTTCATAAACTATTTATGTTTCCCAGAGTTACAACATTTCAAAGGGTAAGGAAAAACAATAAATAAAAAAAGATCAAACTCCCATTAAATTAAGTAGGTATTTGGATGCTTTTAACTTTTCTATTTTTTTTTTATATTTAACACATTTTTTTTTACCATTTTGCTCGTTATGTTCTCTGTAATCTGAAGTCAGATTTTCCAAATTCCCAGATGAAAATATTATAATAACTATCCTTCAGGTTGTAATTATGACTGGAAATGTGGATCCATTCCAAGTTCTACACAAAGTATGACTGTCATGCACATGAAATGTAGTGAAAGTTGTAGGTGTCTGTAGTTTACGAGCACTTTGAATGGTTTATATTTAACCCAGTGTGACACACAGGACCATGCAAGCTCTGTTACACTTAGAAAGTGTTTGAGTCTGTCAGACAGAAAGAGATATTATTGTCAGGTTGCACTGCCACTAGTAAATCACACTGGTGTAATTATTTGCCTCTAAAATCCTATCAAACTGGGTGTAACTTCCAAGACAAGTTCATGATTATAGAGGGAAACGAGAACAACTTGAAATTAGCTTGTTAATTAGACAAGCTATCTGCTCCGACGGCTAGCCTGCAGTCTGCTGCTCTACAGACACTCTGCTTGTAGTTAATTTAGTAGTTTGGCACAAAGTGTTGCCGTAAGTTTTTAACTTTTCTGAACAGCCAAATTTGTCTGTTTTTGAGCAAGTAAAAATTTTAGTTTCAGCAATCTGACCCGTAGCAACAGGTGGGGGAGGGTCGGATTTGATTTTATTATGTTTTTGTGCTCTATGTGCCTGAAGGAGACTCTTTCTGCATTTCAAACTTGAAGAAAGCCTTAATGACATAAATATATCTTCATGACCTTTCTGGTGATTAAAGCAACGATATTCTCCACAAAAAGGGGCGAGGAGTGAAAAAAATGCATCCCAGAACACATATGCACATAAAAGGGTTTGATATTTGGAGGGTTGGGTTCTCTCCCTCTTAGTTGGTGGCACCAGTGTTGGAAAAATCCCTGGGAACTGCAGCTATAAAGACTCTTGTATGACGCTGTAATTGCTGCTGCTGGCTGACCTTGATTAGAGCTCAGGTTGAGCGCCGGTGCGGCTCTAAATCACCATACGTTGCCCACTTGGCCACTCGTGTTTGCGTCCCTCATTTGTGTGTCCCCCCTCCATGTCCTCTGGTGGAGGTGTTAGGCATTATATGCTGAGGAAATGCCATTTTAAACACCTCTCCTCTGTCCAGCCTTAACGGCCGACACCACTTTACCTCGCCGCTCTGCCAATTTGTCTGAGTGGTGGCTGGACCTGGAAGGAGGTGAGGAGGAGGCTGCGGTGGTGGCTGCTTGTGTGGAGGTGAAATTGGGAATAAATTAGAGTACAGATATTTTCCAGCTTGATGAAAAACTGCCAGCACGGAACGCTGGTCTTGAATAGCTCATGTTCCTGGTGAATGTGCCTACATTACACACCTCATTGTGGAAAGACAGCGATGGCAACCCCCCAAAACCATCCTCAGCTCACACCCATGCCAGAGGCGCTTTCTGTGTGTTTTTTTTTTTTTTTTTTTTTTCAGGGGGACTAACAGGTTTTCACATGCTGTAGGCCACGGCCCGCTCCGAGCTCCACCACCTCCTCTCCTCACAGAGGCGGCCGTGCGTGGGCCCCTGCTGTGGAGTGAGGCACGGAGCCCTTAATGAGGGCTTTTTGTCAGCAGTGGGTGGATTCGCCCAACAGGGGAGTGTAAGAGCTGGACACGGGAGGGTAATTTCCACCGAGGAAGCAAAGAGCTTTGGCTTTTTGAGGCCTTACAGGTGATTCCACGCCATTGTCTCCTAATGGAGTTTAGCGTTGGGTGGATGTCAGGGCTCAGCGGACGGGCCCGGCTGGCAATTAGACGCCAGACTCCGCAGTCATTCCTGCAGATTTACTCACTCATATATTCAAAGTACAAAGCCTATTGTATTCTATGGGGCTTATTCATGGAGCTTACTATTCATAGTTAATCAGCTTAGTCATTCTGTGAGTTTATTTTCTTGGTGCTTTTACATACTTTCATGTGCTTGTTTCTTCCTTGCTGCCTACTTGACAAGAGCTGTACTTTAGTTTCGGCTAACCCCGGGGCGAAATAGCTTTTTGCTCAGGGCTGAAATATGTTGAGAGCCGCTGCTTGTTTAAATAGTGTGCATCTTCCAGCGATAAGCTCCCAGAGCCCACACATGCATCTGTGTTTTTTTCAGCCCTGAAATGAGCCAAAGAGCGAGCAGGAGCCTGTATCAATCAGGTGGCGGAGCGAGTTCACGTTTGGGTCACATGTTGCCTTGCGAAGCAAATGGACTGTCACGTTGTTAACCTCCGGACCTTTTCTCAAGACGCAGCTTTGAAGTGCGGACCGTCCACCTGCAGCCTGCCTCCACCTTATCTGCCATCTTTGTTTTTTTTCTTTTTTACCACTCCACACTGCCTCCTGCGCTCTCTTCATGCTTCCCCGTCTCGATGTTCTCTCTCCTTCTGTCGGTTTCCGTCTGTCTCTGTCCTTTCTTCGCTCTGTCATTCCCTCCCTTTGGTGCAACGACCAGACGTAGCAAATTGGAAACATGTGTCACATCCAGCTACTAATTACGGCACTGCAGCAGTCAATGATGCAAACAAAAAATGTGTTGGGGATGAGAGAGGTGATGCAGGAAAGAGAGCCATCTGTGGCTGCAGTACCTTCACACTGCAATGTATGATAAATAAATCCTCATGCTAGTAATTAAAACAGCTCCGGGTCACGTTGCTATTTCTTCTCAACCTTCTTCCATTTAATACCTTTACACTTGACTGCTGCCTATATGTTTATTTCTATTTTTACTTAGATATTTTGATAGATTTTAGACACGAAAACTTATAAAAATAGTCAAAAATAAACGACTAAAACAGTTGAAAGTTGGAATACTCTGGTGGATCTGTCACATCTCGAAGGAGATCTGATGTCATTGCTCTCTACTCTTTGAGTAACTCTACTCCTCAACTGTAGGAGTCACTATTGAAAAATAATGATAGTTTTACGCAGCAGTAATGAGACCATAAGACACGGGGAGAAAAGCAGATTGTTTCAAAATCAGGCAACTTAGATTGCCTGATTTCTTTTGGAGCAGTTTTTGAATTTTTAGTACAGTTGCTGTTCACAATAAAGGAAAATCAAAATGATCATAACTGTATGGGTTTATTTGTATTCTTCATGACATTTTGATAAAAAAGCACCTTTTGGATTTTACGTACTCGTACAAAAGAACCTTTTCTCGTTTAATACATTATTACTAGGTTATTGGTAACAAGTAATATAGGAGAATATTAAGTTTTAGCAACATTTTTGATAAACGTAGCCTATTGTAGAAAGACATTCAAAAACTGCTTGACATCTCAGTTTTTCAGGCTTACGACCCAATTTTAGAAAATTGAGATTACTTCACAATCACGCAATGCATTGCACTAAAACTCAGTTGAAAAGACAAAAAAAACAAAAAGAAAATGTTTTGGAAAAGTGCAGAGCCAACGACGTAAAGGATTCTGTCGATTTCTAAACATGGTCTAACCAAGTTTGACTTTCATTGTCTTTGTTTAGCTTAAATAAATATCTGCCAGAAATGTCTAAATATCATCATCTTTTTTAAATAGATGAGACAATGACTGGAAATAGCCGTAAAAAAGAAAGATGTTCTTGGACATCCGTGATAATGGAGGGAATGGCTGGCCATGCAATGGATACCGTGACATCAGCTTTTGCGCACGACATCATCCGCCAGGTCGATAGCGTCAGCTGTAAACTTTAGATTAGGGTCATAGAGTGCTGCATCCACCCTTTTATTGACCCCCACTGAAATTACTGCAGCCTGACTGAAAGGGAAAGAGACAGAGGTGTTCAGGGAGAACCATAAACAGAGAAAAGGGAAAACAGAAGAGGGAGCAGAGAGGAGGCAGAGATAGTCCTAACCCTAAGTAAATCAATAGCAGTTAAGTCTCAAGTGCCAATACAGTTTCTGCTGGAGGAAGAGGGAGCTGAACCAGAACGATCACCTTGGGAAGATCCCCCGCTCTCCAGCACCCGGAGCTCGGACATACATTATCCTTATCTCAGCATCTCCCATTATTGGTCTTACACGGCCGCCCTAATGAAAGATCGAATCTTACATTACAGCTGGGGAGTTTGTGCGGCAGGGTGTAGTGGTGGTGTAATGATGGAGCGGTCGCCGGGGTGGAAGGTGACCCCCCACAAACCCAGAGCTGCGCACGGAGAATATGAACAAAATCCGAGAGGATTTTGCCGTTCTCTGATCACGGCATATGGAGTTCTGACGTTTCTTTGGCCTTTTTGCCGGTTTAATTTCAGCATCTGCTTTCTCTTTGTTTTTTTTCTTCTTCTCTCTCTTTCCATACTTTAGTAAACGGCTGTGGATTATTGTAAACGCTTGCTGAGGGTGGGCGTCTCTTCGCTTGGCGCTTGCGGTGGCTTGTAGTACAACTATTCCCCTTAAGATCCACATTAAATTTTAATCCCCCCCCCTCATCCACTCACTTGCTTCTTAATAATTCATTAATCAGCAACTAATT